CAGTAGCCCTGGGAGGACCTGAGTGTCTCAGCGTCGTCCGCCCACAAAGCGTCTGTGTGCCCTGAAAGGACCACTGGCCTGTGTCCTCCTAGCAATAGCCCCATGCCCGATATACTTGCTAGATAACGCGAAACCCTCTTAGCGGCCGACCAGTGCTGTGGTCGCTGTCTGCGTGTGGCCACAAAGCGAGCCAGGATGCTAAGAGGGTATGCAAGATCTGGAAGAGTGCAAGTCATCAGGTACATCAGTCTACCCACCAGCTCTGCGTAAGGACCACTAGGCTCTACAGACTCCTCATGGACTGGAGTCGAGAGCCTGTGATCTACTGGTAGAGGTGTGGGCTGTGCGGAGGAGATCCGAAGACCGAACCTCTAAAGGACGTGGCGCACCAATTGTGACTGTGTGAGAGTGATAGTGCGCTCTGCTCTATCCCTGGAGATCTGTAGGCCAAGTTAGCGGCGCAATTCTCCTAGGTCAGTGCAGGTATGTCTCCTCATGGAGGCCAGTGCGTCTCTGTCTGCAGTAGCAAAGACGAGGTCGTCTACGTAGACAAGGATGTAGAACAAGGTCTGGCCAGCACGAATGAAGAGCGAGGGGTCGAGCTGCACTCTCTTGACTTCTCCACAGCGTTTCTTCAGGGCAGTCTGCACGAACAAGTCTACCTGCGTCGCTCGCTGTGTAGCTACGTGTAACAGCGCCCAAAGAGTAATCATCTTCAGGGTCGGGGCGAAGGTCTGAAAGAAGTCAACACCGTCACGCTGACTGAAGCCTCGAGCGATGTAGCGTGCCTTGAACACTGGCGGCTCTCCAGGAGGGCGCTCCACCTTGAAGAGCAACAGGCCATCGACTACGTTCACCTTAGCTGGGGGAACAGCGTCGACGTAGTTGCCGGTGGATCTTGAAGATGCCATCTCCGCGTCCATGGCAGCTATCCATTGAGAGGCCCAGAGTCTCGAGGTCGCCTCAGCGTAGGTGCGAGGGATCGGGATGTCGAAGGCATCTGGGTCCCCCTCAAGGACTAGTAGCATGGAGCAGAGATGAGGCGTGGCCTCGGACAGGAAAGCAAGCTCGTACTGCCGGTCCTCCAGGACGTCACTGCCAAGGGTAGGAGCACTCCCGACGAACGGAGGACGGACAGGGTCAGAGTCCAGAGCAGTGGCATAGTCAAGGCGGCGGGTAGAGGCGAACTCAGCGACGGCACCGACAAGCGCGTCAAGACTAGAGACAGGAACAGACGGATCGGTAACAAGAGAGGCAAGGACCCGAGGAACAAGAGGACTAGTGGCACGAAGGTAGTCAGACAGAGGAGGCGGAGTGACAACAAGCGACGACGGAGGAGGTGAGGGGAGGAAGGGAGGACGAGACGCGTGGGAACGAAGCAAGATAGGGTGAGAGCACTGGACAGGAGAGACAGGACGAGCACGGGAGGGACGGCGAGACCAGAAGTTGGACGGAGGCGTGGGGTTAGGAGATACAGGAGGAGACACAGGAGGAGAATGAGGGGGGAAACGAGTCGGAGACGAGTCCGGCGGAGGAAAGACAGGGCAGTAGACAGGCAGGAGAGGTGACAGCGGGGGAGGCGCAGGCAGGTGGTCAGGGGAGGGAAGGCCAAGGAGGCGCAGTGTGGACACTGGCGATGATTGCTACTCCTGCTGCTGCTCCTCGCCGACACCAGAACTGCCAGCTGCACCACGACTACCTCCAGGTAATCCGGTCCAGAGAAGGGCCGATGAAACGTGCGGCAACTAGGAGTGCGGCCATAGGTTAAGCTATTGAGCGGCCTAGCGAACAGCGAACGACCACAAAAAATGGGGTGCACCGGCATGGATTATGGAGGTACGACCCACCTCCATGACCAAACCGATGCGTCGCTCAGCGGCCTCTGCTGTGGGGAGTCCGGCAGGGTGTACGATTGGGTGCTGCCCTCCGCACGACAGAACTAGCCAAGCCGACCGAAGGCAAACTCGCTACCACGGTCAGAGTGGAGACAGAGCACGTTGAGTCCGCGGTGGACGCGCGGAACTACAACCCACCGGATAAGAACGTCAGGCACGTTGGCCTTCCGCTCCAGGGGAAACACCGTGGTGGAGCGCGTTTAGTCGTTGACAAGCACTAGAAAGTAGCGCTCTTGACGCGGCCCATGGATAGTGGCTGGGCCCCAGACGTCCAGGTGCAGGGTCTAGAGTGGGGCGGTGGCAAGGTGAAGCAAGGAGGAGTGAGGAGCACAGCGCAGCTGGCCCACGATGCAGGGCGTGCACAATAGCGAAGGCGAGGGAGGGAGGGCAGGGAGCAACGCAGGGAGACCTAGGACGAGACCGTGCTGGGACATGTGACGTAGATGCGGGAGTGCGGGGTGACCAAGGCGGTGGTGCCACAGAAGCGTCGGGTGAATGAGCGTCCGACATGAGCAAGCCGCAACGACCTGGGTAGACGCAGGCACTTGGGGGGACGCCCTCACCGGGGAGGACGTAGTGTCAAGCGTAAACAGGCCAAACACAGGGTCTTGGGGGAACGTGATCAGAGGGGCACCAGTGGCGGCCTCGGTACAGACCACATACCGCTCGTGTCAGGGGAACGTAGTGGTAACGCCGAGGTCTTGAAGACAGCTGACACTAACTAGGTTCCTAGAGAACGAGGGGATGTGCAGACCTGTAAGGGAATCCGAGGGGACTGCCGGACAGGGAAGGGTGGTGGTGCTACGGGCAACTACTGGACCTAAGGAGGGGTCAGCAAGCACGACAGCGGCAGGGGCGGCAAACGGCGTGAGCGGAGTGTGGTCGCGGAAGAAGCAGGTAGACGCTCCAGAGTCAAGTGTGAACGAGAGCGAATCAGTAGCGGCAGCCAGTAGAGGGGCTAGCGTAGAGCCTAGGCTAAACAAGGCAGGGGGTCCTACGCCTGACGCAGCAGGGGAACCTAGACTGCACACAGGGGGCACACGTACACTAGGCAACACAGGGTAATAAGATCCGGTACCGCGGCCACCACCACCAAAGGCGCGGGGCCACCTTGGCGGGAGGCGGCCCCACTGTTGCTGCTGGTGTTGCTGCGAGTGCTGCTGCTGCTCCGGGGCACCAGGCCCGGTCCCCTCGTCGGAACCACGGTCCCCGCCCCCACCCCCACCACCCCCACCACCCTTCCCTCCGCCACGGCCCCCCTTGGGGCATCGGCGCCTACCCGGACGCGGCTATGTTGAGGCCACAGCTGCGGTCTCAACAGCAGGGGGTGTCTCAGCGACAGCAGCAGAGACGTGAGAGTAAGTGCACTGGGAGGGAGCACGGCCTTGAAAGATAGGGACCGACTCAGTACCGCTAGACTGAGCGATATTGCGCTGGCGGATCTTTATCTCGGACAGCGCAGTGACAAAGACGGTAAGGGTGAGGTCACTTGGGTGCTCACTAAGGTAGTGGTCGCGGACAGTGGCAAGGTGGTCCGGGAGGCGTGCGGCAATGAGGTAAAGGGTAGCGCAAAGTGGCGGCGGGAAGGCACTGAGCTGGTCCTGAGTGCTAGTGGCGTGGTAGCTAACCTCAAGTGCGCGAAGGTGAGTGGCTAGGTCAGCGACAATGGGGAAGGCTGCAAGATCAGGGAACAGCATGGGGAGGATAAGGCGGCCAGCGGAGGCGGAGGCGGGCGTGGAGTAGCGCGCAACTACGGTCTCTAAGAATTCCTCGGCGTTCGCCACAGCGGTCAAGCGGGGACGCTCAGACAGGGGGGGGGGGGGTCGTGACTAATGGCACGCTGCGCTACGGCATCGTGCGGCTCCCAGACAGCGCGAGCAGGCACAGCAGCGTAAAAGGCCTCACGCTCAGCAGTGGCTGGGGCATCAGGGAGGGCAGCAAGCGTGGGGGGGCGGGGAAGCAAGCCATTGACATGAACAGCCAGGGAGTATCCGTCATGGCACTGACCTGTCAGGTGACGGCAAAGGTCGACAAGCCACGCAACGAAGTCGATCGCCCACCCCTCCGCGTCCAGGCGGAGCATGGCGTCCGCCATCACACGACCTCAGCTACACAGTGACACGGCGGCTCGACTCCACGGCAGGACGGCGGCACGGCGCACGGCGACACGGCAGTAGGCGGCACGGCGAGACGGCGGCACGGCGACACAGCGGCACAGCGACACGGCGGCATAGCGCACGCGACCCGGGGCACTGCAGCACAGCGGCACGGCTCCACGGCAGGACGGTGCCACGGCTGCACGGCGGTACGGCGGAACGACGGGACGGCGACACGGCGGCACTGCGGCACGGTGGCATAGCGGCCCAGTGGCACGGCGGCACTGCGGCACGGCGGCCCAGCGACACGGTGGCACAGCGGCACAGGGGCACAGCAGCACAGCGACACTGCGGCAAGGCGGCGCCGCGGGAAGCTGGGGCCGGCAGGAACGGGGGCCGGCTGCGGTAGGGGCGGCGAGCGAGCGGAGGTCGGCGAGCTAGGGCCTACGAGCGAGAATCGGCGAGATGGGGCCGGCGAGCTAGGGCCGGTGGGCTAGGGCTAGCGTGGCGCACGAAGTTAGCGGGGCGCGAACGAGGCCAGCGTGGCGCGCGAATGGGGCCAGCGGGGCGTACAGGGCCAGCGGGGCGCATGGGGCTAGCGGGGCTCGACGGGGCCAGCGGGACGCGAACGGGGCCAATAGGGCGTACGGGGCCAGCGGGGTGCACGGGGCTAGAGGGGCTCGACGGGGCTAGCAAGGCTCGACAGGGCCAGCGGGGCATACGGGGCCAGCGGGGCGTACGGGGCCAGCGGGGCGCATGGGGCTAGCGGGGCTCGACAGGGCCAGCGGGGCGCGAACGGGGCCAGCGGGGTGGACGGGGCTAGCGGGGTGCTAAGGGGCCAGCGGGGCGCTAAGGGGCCAGCGGGGCGCCGAGGGCTAGAGTGGAAGCGGGTGGGTGGACCTAACCTAATCTGATACCATCTTTGCGTATAACGAATGACTAGAATAAGGTAGTACAAGGGGATGTAACCTAAGGGCTGTACTCTATACAAGCATGCACCTAGCTAGCCTATAACATATACAAATTATTTGTTGACACGGGGTGCACTAGGGTAGGGAGATTCGGTAGAAGCGCACAAAATGCTGTGGGTGCACCAGCTGGCGAACAGGAAACATTTTCTTAACCTTACTCTTGGGCTTAGCTGCTGCGTTTTGAGGCTTGAATTGACTGCACAGATTCACCATACAAAACATCAGTCAGTGTACAGTAGATACTGTGATCGAATTGCCGAGAACCACATGAGCTGTGGTTGCCACCCCACTTTGATCTCATCTACACTCCGCCCCGCATCTACACCTTTTCTTAAACTATCGCTACCAGCAAGTTTATCAATCCAAAAGGGGCCATTGGGAGAGTTAGTCGGGCTATCGTTGCGCCAGTGGAAGTCGGAGGGGTAGAGGGACCGTGCAGTGGTGAGAAGAATGAGGGCGAGACGAAGAGGGTCAAAGGTTGCAGGGTCTGTGACATGAATCTGGGGAGGGGTGGTGGGGGGATAAGAGCAAGGAAAGAGAGAGGGAAAGAGAGTTAGTCTGGCTATCGTTTCGCCAGTGGAAGTGGGAGGGGTAGAGAGACCGAGCCGTGGTGAGAAGAATGAGGCGAGACGAAGAGGGTCAAAGGTAACTGGGTCGGTGATGTGAATCTGAGGAGGGGTGGTGGGGGGGATAAGAGCAAGGAAAGAGAGAGGGAAAGAGAGTTGGTGGGTCTATTGTTGCGCCAGTGGAAGTGGGAGGGGTAGAGGGAGCGCGCCAAGGTGAGAAGAACGAGGGCGAGGCGGAGAGGGTCAAAGGTTGTGGGAAGGCGAGGGAACCGGGTTTGTGATATGAATCTGAGGAGGGTGGGTGGGGGGGATAAGAGCAATGACAGAGAGAAAGAGGTTTTGCCGGCAACAGGAGAGTAGTAACGTTGCGAGCAATGTAAGACTACCATTGCGCGATAGGGTCGGTGACATGAATCTGGGGAGGGTGGTGGGAAGGCTAGCAGCTGAAGACAGTAATGGTTGATGTCAGTGGTGGGATCATAGGACGAGGAGGGGGTGTGTGTGCCATGCATCTGAGGAGGGTAGTGGGTGGGGGAATAAGGGCAAGTGGGGAGGAGCGATGGATGAGTAGTGGGGAGGGCAAGCAGAGGAGGCGTGAGTGAGAAGAGTGGAAGTGGAAGTCTGAGGGGTGCTGGAATGTTGGCAGGGGTGAGAAAGGCTGTGTGTGAAGAGTAGAGGAGCAGAGGAGCAGAGGAGCAGAGGAGCAGAGGAGCAGAGGAGCAGAGGAGCAGAGGAGCAGAGGAGCAGAGGAGCAGAGGGGCAGAGGGGCAGAGGGGCAGAGGGGCAGAGGAGCAGAGGAGCAGAGGAGCAGAGGAGCAGAGGAGCAGAGGAGCAGAGGGGCAGAGGAGCAGAGGAGCAGAGGAGGAGAGGAGCAGAGGAGCAGAGGAGCAGAGGAGCAGAGGAGCAGAGGGGCAGAGGAGCAGAGGAGCAGAGGAGCAGAGGAGCAGAGGAGCAGAGGAGCAGAGAGGCAGAGGGGCAGAGGGGCAGAGGAGCAAAGGAGCAGAGACGCAGAGGAGCAGAGGAGCAGAGGAGCAGAGGAGCAGAGGAGCAGAGGAGCAGAGGAGCAGAGGAGCAGAGGAGCAGAGGAGCAGAGGAGCAGAGGAGCAGAGGAGCAGAGGAGCAGAGGAGCAGAGGGGCAGAGGGGCAGAGGGGCAGAGGGGCAGAGGAGCAGAGGAGCAGAGGAGCAGAGGAGCAGAGGAGCAGAGGAGCAGAGGAGCAGAGGGGCAGAGGGGCAGAGGGGCAGAGGAGCAGAGGAGCAGAGACGCAGACGAGCAGAGGAGCAGAGGAGCAGAGGAGCAGAGGAGCACAAGGACGAGATGGAGAGGGTCGAAGGAGACAAGAAGAGACGCACACGGGCAACTCACTCACCTCCACCTCCACACACCTGCTTTCCAAATTGCTTGCCGGCAATTTTTCAGGCTCCTAAAGAAAGCGTCCTGGGAAGCACGAGGGAAGTGGCCGGCAGCACGAGGGAAGTAAGCGTCCTGGACAGCACACCCCATCGAAAGTTTAGTTTTGAGGCGCCTCAAAACGGCACACCCCATCGAAAGTCTGACTGTTTCCGAGCTATTCCGGAAACGACTCTCCTGATGCCGCACCCCGACTATATTCTCACTGCTGCCAATCTTTCTCGCGAACAACTCACCTCCGCCCCCCACCCTTGCTTCTTGGAGGATTTTCTATCAGCAGGAGAGAAGAAATTCTCCTTGGCGGCACACCCCGTCTATATAGTCTTACTGCTAGCACTCTATCTCGCACACAACAATGCACCTCCACCCCATAGGCTTGCTTCCCATAATAAATCCAGCAACAGGAGAGAAGAAAGTCTCCTTGGCGGCACACCCCGTCTAATATAGTCTTACTGCCGCCAATCTATCTCGCACACAGCAGCGCACCTCCATCCCACACACTTGCGTCCCAGAGTATTTTCCGGCAACAGGGGACAAGTTAGCCTCCCGAATGGCACACCCCACCCCATGTATACTCGTACGGCTGCTGACAATCTATCTCGCACACAGAAGCGCACCTTTATCCCACACACTTGCTTCCCAGAGTATTTGCCGGCAATAGGGGAGAAGTAAGCCTCCCGAATGGCACACCCCACCCCATATATAATCGTACTGCTGCTGTCAATCTATCTTGCATGCACACAGCAACTCACCTCTATCCCACACACTTGCTTCTCGGAGTATTTTCCGGCAACAGGGGAGAAGAAAGCCTCCCTGATGGCACATCCCGGACACAGTTGATTTCGAACGGCCTCCGCGAATCGATGGTCCATAAACGGCGCTCCGATCTGGCGAAAGGCAAGGATGAGAAGCGAAATGGGGGGAGAGGATGAGGGAGGGTAAAGGAAGAATGAGGAGAATGAAAGAGAATAAAGGAGACGGGAATGACATTGGGGAAGATGGTGAAGAGAAAGGAGAAGACGGAATGAGAAAGGATGAGGGGGAATGCGGGGGAATGAGGGGGAATGAGGGGGAATGAGGGAGGGAGAATGAGGGAGGGCGAATGGGGGGGAATGAGGGGGAATGAGGGGGGATGAGGGGGGATGAGGGGGATGAGGGGGGATGAGGGGAGATGAGGGGGATGAGGGGGGATGAGGGGAATGAGGGGGAATGAGGGGGAATGAGGGAGGGGGAATGAGGGAGGGCGAATGGGGGGGAATGAGGGGGGATGAGGGGGGATGAGGGGGGATGAGGGGGGATGAGGGGGGATGAGGGGAGATGAGGGGGGATGAGGGGGGATGAGGGGAATGAGGGGGAATGAGGGGGAATGAGGGGGAATGAGGGGGAATGAGGGGGAATGAGGGGAATGGAGGGGAATGAGGGGGAATGTGGGGGGATGAGGGGGAATGAGGGGGGATGAGGGGGAATGGAGGGGAATGAGGGGGAATGTGGGGGGATGAGGGGGAATGTGGAGGGATGAGGGTTTGTCACTCCTTCCCTCAAGGCAATGTAAAAAGACAAGGCTGGGGCATAAAGAGAGTGCTACCTCTGGAGTTTAGAAACTGCTGCTGTGTTGCCATTGCCAGCAAAACAACCGTTGATTTCTGACTGTTAACGATTGCCACAAGGTGCTATTCACTGCAGTCACTTCCTATGCTACCCACCCATTGGTGCTGCCATCCACTCTAACCAGCAGGAAAGGCAGAGTCGTGCCACAGCCTTCCCTCAAGTTGGTGCCAAGACGTCTCCAAACTAATGCATTGCAGCCATTTGCTACCCCTTGCAAGTTGCAACGAATGTCGTTGTGTTGCCATCACATCTTACCGGCTGGAAGGGCAGAGTCGTCCCGCGGCCTTCCCTCAAGTTGGTTCCGAGACGCCGCATATTGAATGCATTGCATTGCAGCCATATGCTACCCCTAGCATAGGGTTGGGCAAAAGCGCGTAATTACCCACCCGTACACGATTTTGCCTTACCCAACTTCGGGTCGGGTAATATCGGGTCGCGTAGTAGTCGGGTAACTGGCCCACAACCATTACGCGATCCGGGGTATAGTGGGCGGGTAGTAAGGTACCCGCCCCGCGGGTCGGGTACCCGTACCCTAGTTGTGGTTAAAAGCGGGTATTACTACCCGCACACAATAATGGGTCATAATGAGGCCCATAACGTGTTTTAGGGGTGTTAACAATAGCCTAGTCGGGTCGGGTATACCCGACCCGGGGGGGATGAATGACCCGCCGCGTCGGGTATGAATGAATGACCCGCCGCGTCGGGTATGAATGAATGACCCGCCGCGTCGGGTATGAATGAATGACCCGCCGCGTCGGGTATGAATGAATGACCCGCCGCGTCGGGTATGAATGAATGACCCGCCGCGTCGGGTATGAATGAATGACCCGCCGCGTCGGGTATGAATGAATGACCCGCCGCGGCGGGTATGAATGAATGACCCGCCGCGTCGGGTATGAATGAATGACCCGCCGCGTCGGGTATGAATGAATGACCCGCCGCGTCGGGTATGAATGAATGACCCGCCGCGTCGGGTATGAATGAATGACCCGCCGCGTCGGGTATGAATGAATGACCCGCCGCGTCGGGTATGAATGAATGACCCGCCGTGTCGGGTATGAATGAATGACCCGCCGCGTCGGGTATGAATGAATGACCCGCCGCGTCGGGTAGGAAAACGGGTACCGGGTATCGGTTACCCGGCCGGGTTACCCGACCCGAACCGGCCGGGTAATAAGTAGAATTCGTACTACCCGACCCAGCCAAAAGTCGGGTACGGGTACGGGTACCCGACCCGCACGGGTAATTTGCCCAAGCCTACCCTAGCAACATATGTTGTGGTGCTCCCATCTACCCTCACGAGCTGGAAAGGCAGAGTCGTGCCACGGCCTTCCCTCAAGTTGCACAAGGTGCTATGTGCAATGAAAGGCCTGGGGGGGGTATGTGCTATGTGCATTGCATTGCATTGCAGCTGGTAATTCGCTGTGCCACCCCCCGTAACGTGCCTTTCCCCATCCATCCTCACCAGCAGGAAAGGCAGAGTCGTGCCACGGCCTTCCCTCAAGTTGGTTCCGAGACGCCGCATATTGAATGCATTGCATTGCAGCCGTATGCTACCCCTAGCAACGTATGTTGTGGTGCTCCCATCTACCCTCACCAGCTGGAAAGGCAGAGGCATGCCACGGCCTTCCCTCAAGTTGCACAAGGTGCTATGTGCTATGAAAGGCCGGGGGGGTGCTATAGTGCTCTGTGCAATGAAAGGCCGGGGGGGTGCTATGTGCTCTGTGCAATGAAAGGCCGGGGGGGTGCTATGTGCTGTGTGCTATGTGCTATGTGTATTGCAGCTGGTAATTCGCTATGCCACCCCCAGTAACGTGCCTTTCCCCATCTATCCTCACCAGCTGGAAAGACTGAGTCGTGCCGCGGCCCTCACTCAAGTTGATTCAGAGACAACTAAAATTCTATGCATTGCAGCCATGTGCTGCCCTACCCCTAGCAGCGTATGTTTTAGTGCTCCCATCCCATGTATCCTTACCAGCTGGAAGGGCAGAGTCGTGCCGCGGCCTTCACTCAAGTTGGTTCCCTGCAAAATGAGGGATTGGAGGGGAGGGAGCCTGGAGAAAATGACCAAGTTTCTGATATAAACCGACTGTTGAGGCGCCTCAAAATGCGACTCATAACGGAGGCAGGGGAGGGGGTTGGAAAAAAATGAGTCAATTTTTTACGCGCCCAACAAATTGACTCATAAAATAAACGAGTCGACTCAAAAGCCCTACAAATTGACTCATAACATAAACGAGGATGGGATGGGATGGGATGGCATGGGATGGGATGGGATGGGATGGCATGGGATGGGATGAGATGGGATGGGATGGGATGGGATGGGATGGGATGGGATGGGATGGGATGGGGTGGGATGGGGTGGGATGGGATGGGATGGGGAGGAAATAGGCAGATGAACACAGAAGGTGACGACAAACGGCCGCTCCCGCCATTCTGCATCTAGATAGATCTACAAAGCAGTTTTTTCCTCTTCTTGCTTCCTCTAGTTAATTTCGGCTGCTTGCATCTCTTTCATAGGACGTGCAACGGCACAACAAGACTGCACTCGCATGTGTCTCTCTTACAGGCACGTGCCTCTCTTACAGGCACGTGCCTTTCTTACAGGCACGTGTCTCTCTTACAGGCACCTGTCTCTCTTACAGGCACCTGTCTCTCTTACAGGCACGTGTCTCTCTTACAGGCACATGTCTCTCTTGCAGGCACGTGTCTCTCTTACAGGCATGTGTCTCTCTTACAGGCACGTGTCTCTCTTACAGGCATGTGTCTCTCTTACAGGCACGTGTCTCTCTTACAGGCACGTGTCTCTCTTACAGGCACGTGTCTCTCTTACAGGCACGTGTCTCTCTTACAGGCACGTGTCTCTCTTACAGGCATGTGCCAGTGTAGTGTAGACAAGAGCAGTAGTGGGAGCGGGCATGTTGGGCGAGGGTGGGACCCAGAATCCTCTCACCTTAATCACACACCACCACCACCACCATCCCATCTCACATACCTCTACCAGGCATGTGCCAGCATACACAAGCGCAGTCACAGGTGTGGGCATATTTGGTGACGGTGGCACCCACAGCAGCGGCTGTAGCGCAGTTCGTACAGTAGCAGCTGGTGCTGCAGATGTGAGTATAGCTGACACAGTGGAGGGTGTGGCTGTAGGGGGGGATGGTAGTGCTTCTCTTGAGAGACTCGGCTGATGGTTGGCAACTGGTAAAGGTGTGAGGGACGGAGACGGTGGTAGTGGTGGTGGTGGTGGTAGTGGTGTGACGGAAGGGGAAGGAGGAGGGGCGGACAGGGAGACAGTGGAAGGAGAGGGGAGTGCCGGAGGGAGGAGGAATGGTTGTGGGTAGGGGAAGAAAGGGAAGGAGGAGCGAGTCCAGCCTGCCATCTCCACCACCTCGAGCTTGAAAGGAGGAGAGAAGGTGGGGCTAGATGATTTCCTGGTACTGGTTTGGCTGGTGGCTACAGGGCCAGAGGCGCGCACGTGTGAGAGGTGTGCGTCTGAGGGGAGGAATTCGGAGAGGAAGAGGCGGGCGAGCTCGCCCACTGTCATGCCATGGCGCAGAGGGATGGCCTGATGGGGAGCACGGGAGTGGGGGGAAGAGAGGGGAAAGAGAGGCGGACAGACACATAGGGATCAGAGGAAGAAGAGGTGGGCGAGCTGGCCCACTGCCATGCCGTGGCGCAGAGGGATGGCCTGGAGAGGGGTACAGTGAGGGGAGTCAGGGAGGAAGGAGGGAGAGGGAGAGAGGGGGGGCACGTAGAAATTTGAAAAGGAAGAGGAGGGCGAGCTCGCCCACTGTCATGCCATGGCGCAGAGGGATGGCCTGATGGGGCGCAAGGGAGAGGGGGGCGGAGAAAGAGAAAGTGCAAGTGTGAGAGGTGTGCGCCCCAGGGGAGAAGCAGAAGAAGAGGAGGGCGAGTTCGCCCACTGCCATGCCGTGGCGCAGAGGGATGGCCTGCGAGGGAAGGAGTGAGGGGAGGCAGGGAAGAACGGTAGGGAGATAGGTTGTGGCACGGCAAGTGTGAGAGGTGTGCAACTGAAGGGAGACAATCGTAGAGGAAGAGGAGGGCGAGTTCGCCCACTGCCATGCCGTGGCGCAAAGGTTTGGCCTGATTGGGGGCGACAGATCTTCCTGCCCACAAAGGAGGCGTGCTGCTGGGGCTCGGTGATGGGCCCATCCACCACCACAGAGTGGTGACCACTCCCCCCAACCCAATGGGTTGGGTGGGCCTGTCGAGGACTAGGAAGGAAGCGTAGCATTTATGCCGTGGTGTGCTGTGAATGTGAAGTGAAACAAGTGCTAATGACAGCAACAAGCCTTTCTGCCCACAAATGAGGCGTGCCGCGTGCTGTGCCTCAGTGATCGCCCTGGCCTGTCGAACACTAGGCATGCTGGGGCTCTTTGATGGGCCCAAGCCCATCCACCACCACCCCTCCCAGGGGGTTGGGCCTGTCCTGTCCAGCACTAGGAAGCGCAGCATGCATGAAGTGATGTGCTGAGAGACATGTGCTGAGAGTGGGTTGCGCTTCCATAGGAGCGTCAAACATTTCTTCCAACGAACGACGCGTGCTGAGGCTCTGTGATCGGCCCATGGGCCCATCCACCACCTCCCCTCCCAAGGGGTTGGCCCTGTCCAGCACTAGGGAAGAGAGCGATGCACGCAATGCGCCCAGGATGCTGCATTCCCAGTACAAACCTTCCTGCCAACGAATGAGGCGTGCTGTGGCTCTGTGATCGGCCCGTCCACCACCACTCCCCCTAATGGGTTCGGCCGGTCGAGGACCAGGAAGCGCCGGACAGAGGAGGAGAGGGCAGCTGCCACGAGACAGTCGTAGAGCGTCCAGATGAACGTGTAGAAACGAGCCTGGTGTGGATTGTGGTGGGTGGGGGACGAACAGGAGAAGTGGGGGGGGAGGGGATGGGAGAGGGTTGGCCTGTCCAGCCTTTAAGCGCTGGACAGAGGAGGAGAGGGCAGCTGCCACGAGACAGTTGTAGAGCGTCCAAACGAGCCTGGTGGGAACAGTGGTGGTGTGTGTTTGGGGGGGGAGAGGGAAGAGGGGCGGGCGGGGCACAGCAGTTGTTACAGAAGAGGAAGAGAAAGCAGCAGCTACCAAAGGGGCAGTTGTAGAGCGTCGAGATGAAGGTGTAGAAGCGGGTCAGGGAAATGGCGGAAGGGGGAGGAGAGGAGAGGGGAGAGGAGGATACAGTCAGGAGGGAGTGCGAGAGGAGAATAGAGTCAGGAGGGAGCGCGAGAGGAGGATACAGTCAGGAGGGAGTGCGAGAGGATCAACGAGCAGCAGAAGCTGTCGGGCAGTCGTTCGTAGGTGGAGAATCAAATCGAGCCTGGTGGGAATTGTGGTGGTGTGTGTTGGGGGGGGGGGGGAGAGAGGGGCGGGGCACAGCAATTGTTACGGAAGAGGATCCGAGAGCAGCAGCTGCCACGGGGCATTCGTAGAGCGTCCAGATGAAGGTGTCGAAGCGGGCCTGGTGGGGATCGCGGCGGTGTGTGTGTGGGAGTGGGGGAGGGGGGGAGAGGCGAGGCACAGGAGATGTAAAGAAGAGGCAGAGGGGGCAGCTGCCACGGGGCAGTGGAGAGCATGCAGATGAAGGTGTCGAAGTGGCCTGGTGGGGATCGTGTTGGCGTGTGTGGGAGTGCGGAGGGAGGGGGGGAGGAGAGGCGAGGCGCAGGAGAGGGGGACAGTCACAGAAAGAGACTGCCAGCGCCTTGCCAGCCACCACCGTGCCAGCCACCGCCGTGCCAGCCACGGGGCAGAAGCGGGCCAGGTGGGGATCGTGGTGGTGTGTGGGGAGTGGGGGGGGGGGAGGGGGAGGGAGGGGGGGGGAGAGCCTGAGAGGTGAAGCGCCGGAGAGGGGGACAGTTACAGAAAGTGACTGCCACCGCCTTGCCTGCCACAGGGCAGTGTTAGAGCGTCCAGATGGAGATGGAGAAGCGGGCCTGGTGGGATTGTGGTGATGTGTGTGTGGGGGGGGTGTGAGGGGGGCGGGGGGGGGGGGGGAGAAAGGGGCGGGGCACAGCAGATGATAAGGAAGAGGAGGAGAGGGCAGCTGCAGCCACAGGGCAGTTGTAGAGCGTCCGGATGAAGGTGGAGGGGCGGATGAAGGTAGAGCAGCCTGAGAAATGAACTGACAAAGGGATGACAGCGGGGAGGAAATCCACCGCACTGGCCCTGGCGTCTTGAATGCGTGTGTAATGGGTCGATTTTTGAGTCGACTCAAGAATCCATCGCACTGACCCAGGCGTCTTGAATGTCAAAAACGATAGAATCAGCACCAGACGCTTCGAAGCACTGAGCCCATTTGCCCACTCCTATGCACCACCCAACCACACTCCTCACCCCCACGTCTTGAATGTCGTCGAACATGATGGTATCAGCACCAGAAGCAAAAGACATGACACCACACTCATACCACCACCCACTCCACTCATCTCACCACCCCATCGCACTCACTCACCACCCCATCGCACTCACTCACCACCCCATCGCAATCACTCACCCCCACGTCTTGAATGTCAAACACAATGGTATCAGCACCGGAAGCTTCGAAGCACTTTGCTATGGCGGGGGGGTTCTGCCGTGCAAAGGAGGGAAGAGAGGGAGACAAGTGAAAGAGGCAGGGACGAAAGAGAGTGGCTGATGAAAGAGAGAGTGGATGAATGGATGGATGGATGATCAAACAACACCTGTGACCACATTTATTCTGGATCGCAGGTTCAAGTGAGTGCCTGCAGTGCAGACAACCCTCGGGCCCTTGAACAAGGGGGGCATGGCATGGCATGGCACCCATGGCATCTCAATCATTCCTTCCACCCCTTCACAACACCCACCCCTTCACAACACCCACCCCTTCACAACACCCACCCCTTAACAACACCCACCCCTTCACAACACCCACCCCTTCACAACACCCAACCCTTCACAACACCCACCCCTTCACAACACCCACCCCTTCACAACACCCACCCCTTCACAACACCCAACCCTTCACAACACCCCCTTCCCTCCCAAAGGACCAACACGGACCAGGCCATGGGTCCTTCCTCCCTCCTGCTCCCCCCTGACAAGTCCCCCTCACAAGCCCCCCTCACAAGCCCCCCTCACAAGACTCCCTTTCACTCCACTCCACTCCACTCCACCCCACTCCACCCCACCCCACCCCCACTGCCTTTTCCATTTCGTCTTGCCGTAGAGATTGACTCGGAAGGCCTGTCTTTGGGCCCTTAGAGGCTGACTCAGACTTGCCTGCCCTTGAGTCGACTCACGAACACATGATCCCACCAGCTTGTCGTTGGAGGTATCGTCAAACTCACGCACGTGGCCAAGACGTGGCCAAAACGGGCTTCCCACCTTGCTGTAGAGGTCGAAAATGGGGAGGCCAGTCTTGGGGTCCTTCGAGGCTGACTCGGACTTGCCCGCCTGAATGGAAGGGTACAAAGAAAGCATGGCAGAAAAATGAGAATAATAAGTTCGCGGCAGGGAAGGGGGAAGGGGGTGGTGGGACGATGCGAGGGAGGGCTGTGATGGGGTCCTTTGAGGACGACTCTGATGTGCCAGCCTGAGAGTGTGAAGGAGGGGGAGATGGTGCATGGAGGGAGAGAGTGAGATGGTGGCGAGGGAGGTGCGAGAGAGCGAGGGGGAGGAGGAACGTACGTACCTGTGCTGTGCCTCTGAAGCCGTGTTCAGGGCCCGCAAGGGGGGGGGGGGGGTGGGGGGTGTCGAAAGGGAGGAGAGGAGACAAGCAGGGACGGGGATAGCGAGGGGGCAAAGCGAGCACAGGGGATGGACAAGATGGAGGCATGGAGAGAGCACCTGTGCTGTCCCTCTGAAGCCGTGCTCCGGGCCGAAGATGGCCACGAGTTGAAAGGGAGGAGGGGAGGGAGGCAGGGAGAGCGAGGGATGGCAAGAGGGCACAGCGAAGTGAGCAGGGGAGGACGAGAGGAGGGGAGGAGCACCTGTGCTGTCCCTCTCAAGCCGTGCTCCGGCCCAAAGATGGCAACGAGTTGAAACGGTGAAGGGGAGTTGGTTGTAGCGCATGCATGCATGGCGTCGGCCTGCGTGATTGATTGAGGTATGGGGAGGGGAGAGGAGGAGCGGGGGTAGAAGGATTCCGGGAGTGGATTAGAAGAGGCTCGCGTTAGGGCGGATTAGGCCGCATTAGGATCTCTGGGTGGGGGAAAAAAAGAAACGGTGGCGGAAGATGCCAAGCGTCGTTAGACCTGATGGAAGATGAGTGGTGGAGGAAGATGAACAACGGTGGAGGAAGATGAAACGGTGGAGGAAAGCCGAACAACGGTGGCGGAACGATGAACGGCGGTGGCGGAAAGACGAGCGACGGTGGCAGAAAGACGAACGACGGTGGCCGAAAGACGAACGACGGTGGCGGAAAGACGAACGACGGTGGCGGAAAGATGAAGGGGAAGGAGGGAAGCGGGTGGCAGAGAATGCATGTGAGAGTGACAATAAGGGGCGTGCGTGAGAGTGACTGTACGGGGTGTGAGAGAGTGATGGTAGGAGTCGGGACACTAACCAGGTGGGTGAGATCCCGAAGCACTGACGTGGCATTGGCGATAAGGCCGACCTGCAAGGGGAAGGGGAAGAGAAGGATATGAGGGTGGGAGAGGGAGGGAGGCACAGCTAGAGAATGGTCCTCAGAATGGTCCAAAGAATGGTCCAGAGTGAAAGAGAGAAAGCAGGGCAGCTCGGCCAGTCTGCATGGGTGGAGACGGCAAGGCAAGAAAGAGGGCGAAAGAGCAAAAGGATCAGAGCCACAAGCGGCCACTCACCATGCACCCATGCGGCCTAGCAAGCGAGGTGACTTTTGAGTCGACTCAAAAGTCACCTAGTCTGCATGGCTGGAGGCGGCAAAGCAAGGAAGAGGGCGAAAGAGAAAAGGGATCAGATCCACCAATGGACTCTCACCCTGCACCCGTGCACTCTAGCCAGCGGATCAGCTTGCAGCACGTTGTGCTGTCTCCCTCTGGCGTTGCCAACAACCGTAGAGCCATGCTTCTCTCACCTTGCACCCCTGCACTCGCTTGAACGACTCGGCGCGCAGCACATCGCAGCCGGTCAGAATGCCATTGGTAGTGCCGTGTGCCGTCTCTTGGTGTTGCCAATCAGGGCGAGAGGGCCCCTGACCCATATTTCCAGAGCTCTCTCGGTTCCTTGGCTCCCTAACTCTATGATTCTCTATTTTCTACTCGCTATCACCAACCCTAGCGCCCCGCCCTGCATCCCATTGGTGCTGCCGAGCGCGGCGAAGCCCTCTGACCCATGTTTCCGGACCTCCGCTCTAGTAGTTCCGCACCTTTGAACCGAGCATACTGTCTTCGTTCGATCGTCCTACATATGTGTTTGAGCCTCAATGGCCGATGCACCCGGACCCATACTATTTCCGGGCCTCTCCGCTCTACCGCGGCCTTTGAACCAATTGTATCGCAGCAAGCTACTGTGAGGCAGCTCTACCTATTTCCGGACCTCTGTTTTCCCGCGCCTTCGAACTGAGCTTACAGACTTTGTTTGATCGTCCTGCATCTGCTTTTGAGCCGTCTCGTTACTGCGTAGTCGTAATCTCCCATGATTTTTGTAATATCACCCTATAAGTTACTTATGTAGATAAGGTTCTCTATGCTTACAGAACATTCCAGCAGTTTATGCATCACCACGCATGGGAGGTCGTTTCTGTAGATCGGTTTGGCGTTCAGGTTCACGGTCTACACTGGTAACCTTTCATCGCTAGACGCTCGCGAAAAAAAGACTGCTTTTGATTGGCTACAATTTCGAGAAAATCCCCTGCAGGATCAGACTTCTACATGAACCAAGCCCTCACGTTACATTTCCGGAGCACCCGTTTCAAGCCTGGTCCCCCTCCCAATTTGGGAGTCCCAAACCGATCTCTTCATCGGTGTACGCGTTACAACACGACACGGCACAGCACAAAGATTGTCTCTTTGAATGAACTCGCACAGCAAATCCAAACCATAAAATTCCGTGCTTGGTAGTCTCCACTCGACCACGCCACTCCATTTCCTGTCGTTACCGACATTCCCGCCGCTTCCCACGCCATTCCATTTCCCCGCCGCCACTGCGGATCCAGTCACCCCTTCCATTCGCCATCCCCTTTCGCTTCTCTTTCGCCGCCCTTTTCGCGAATATTCGCACACCATGGGTGGAGGCGGCGGTGCTGCTGGCGGTTACCCTAACGTCTGGGCGTTAACCGGCGGGTGGTACTGCGATCCGAAATACTGGCGGCGCAACACGGCGTTCGCTCTGGCCGGTATCTTTGCCGTCTGCGTTCCGATCGCGCTGACGTCAGCACGGCTCGAGGTTCGTAATCAGTCGTTAACATTAACGGATGGAGTAGTTGTTACGTTTCGCGACACAGCGCGGCTCTGTCGTATAGCTTGCGACTTCAGCTTGCGACTTCAGCTTGCGACTTCAGCTTGCGACTTCAGCTTGCGACTTCAGCTTGCGACTTCAGCTTGCGACTTCAGCTTGCGACTTCAGCTTGCGACTTCATCTTGCGACTTCAGCTTGCGACTTCAGCTTTAGCAGCTCTTACACCGTGGCCAAAAGGCGCAGGTCACTTTTGGGGCGCCTCAAAAGTCAGCTCTTACACTATGGCAAAAAGAAGCAGATCAGGGAACGGATCTCAGAAAATAATCTGTGGATCTCTGGATCTCTATGTGGCCCTCTGTCACCTTGTCTCGTGCCACGCTTGCGGGAATCTGCATGCGAGAGTGGCTGGGCTTGGCCACCCTCGCGACCACCAAGAGTATCCCCGCAGGAGTATGCCCGGCCACGCTTCTTTAGGCTGGCTGGCTGGGTGTACCGTGTAACAGTACGACGGTGGCGTGTGAGTCAGCTGAGGAACGAGTACAAGTCATGTGTGTCGCACTTGACGCATCAGTCAAGCTGCGGGTGCATCATGCACGGCTAGGCGTGCCTTAGGGGAGCCTTAGGCGTGATCGTCCATTGGTTGAGGGTTCTCAGACTTTGTGCGGCACCTGTTCTCTCCCCACTGCCGCCCCCCATGCCTCTCTGCCTCCCTCCCTCCCTTCCTCACTCCATGCCCCCTATCATCTCTCCCCTCACCCCACCCCCCTCCACCCTCCTCTCACCCACACACTCCCCTACCCCCCCCGCTCTCTCTCGCCCTTTCCCCCCCACACACACCTCCCCTAATCTCCCAACCCCCAAACCATGTGTTGTGTGTCCCCTGTGCGTGTTGAGAATTCTAAAAAATCACACACACCCTGATCTCTCCCAACCCTCAAACCGCGTGTTGTGTGTCGCAGCAACGCCTGATTGCTTTCGAGGCGCCTCAAAAGCCCCCCCCCCGCTCTCCCTCGCCCCTTCCCCCACACACACCCTGATCTCCCAACCCTCAAACCGCGCGTTGTGGAGTCTTGAGGATTCTCAAAAAACACACACACCCTAATCTCCCAGCCCGCAAGAGACTGCGTGTTGTGTGGCGCAGCAATGTCCAAGTGCGCCGAGCCATGTCATGTGTGAGAGCCGTGTCATTCATTCCCTCACACATTCCGCGCCAACCTTCCCCTTATATACCCCTTCATCCCATGCCTTCCTCTAGACATGGGCAAAAAAAATCGCATCGCATCGCATGTAATCGCGTTTTTGCGATTGCGATTTTTTTTATTTTTTTATTTTATCATCGTGCGACGCGATGCGATTAATTAATATCGCGCGATTTAATTTTAATCGCATTTTAATCGCGCTAAACAACGCGATTTAAATGGGATATGCGTTTTTTTTTTTTTTTTATCGCGCGCGATGTTGCACTGAAACCCACTCTGAAACCCACTACGAAACCACACTAATTATTTGCACTCTAGCTTATGACTGCCCGTGATTCAATTTCCTGGCAGCCATGGTTTTTTTCTGGTTTTTGGGGGTGTTTTTTTATTCTGTTTTAAAACGCGATGCGATTTAAAATCGCATCGCGCGATTAAATTAAATACCGCATGCGGTTTTAATATTCATCGCGCACAAAACGCAATGTGCGATTTATTTTTTTCCAGAAACTAAATCGCGTGATGCGATTTAAAATCGCATCGCATTTAATTAAATCGCCCCCCAATGCGATGCGATTTAAATCGCAATCGCATTTTGCCCATGTCTACCTTCCTCCCTGCCTCCCTATATCCCGTTCCAAATTCCACCCCTTGTACATCCCTCAAACCGTGTCACGTGTCGTGTGTCGTGTGTCGCAGCAACGGCCGATTGCTCCTAGCCGTGCCATTCGCTCCCAGATGTGGTGCTCGAACTTCCCCCAATAGCCCCTCTCCTTCACTCCCTCCCTTCCTCCCTGTACACCCCCTCTCCTTTTGAGTCGACCCAAACACTCCCTGTACACCCCCTCTCCTTTTGAGTCGACCCAAACACTCCCTGTACACCCCCTCTCCTTTTGAGTCGACCCAAACACTCCCTGTACACCCCCTCTCCTTTTGAGTCGACCCAAACACTCCCTGTACACCCCCTCTACAATCCCCAACCTGTGTAACTGCAACGGCAAATTGCTCTGAACCGAGCCATTCCCTCGCAGTTCTGGTGCTCCCAACTTTCCCTCAATCCTCCCCTTCACCCCACCCCGTCCTCCCTGCTCATCCACATCCCTGTCCACCCCGCCTGCAACCCCCAACCATGGGACTTGTGCGTCTGTGCTTCTCAGCAGCGGCCGACTGGTCTACAACCCTGAACCATGTGACTCGTGGTTTGCAGCAACGGCCGACTGCTCCGAGTTCCACCATTCCCTCTCAGTCCCCACCTTCCTTTCAATACTCCCTTAACCCCCCTCTCATTCCATCCTCCCAACGCACCCCCTCGACAAACCCCAACTGTGTGCGGCGCCGTGTGTCGCAGCAACGATCGATTGCTCTGAACCGTGCCATTCCCTCGCAGTTCTGGTGCTCCCAGCTTCCCTCAATCGCCCCCTTCGTCCATCCTTTCCTCCCTACGCACCCCCTTTACAAATCCCAACCATGTGCCGTGTGATGCATGTCCCTCTCAGCACCGGTCGATTGTGCCGAGCCGTGCCATTCACTCACAAACGTGGTGCGCCTACTTCCCCCCAAAAGAACGTGCATCTCATCCCTTCTTCCCTGCCCCTCTACAACCCAAATCCCTGTGCACCCCCTGCGCAATCCCCAACTGTGTGTCGTGTCTCTCAGCAACGGCCGATTGCGCCGAGCCGTGCCATTCCCTCGCAAATGTGGTGCGCCAACTTCCCCAGTGAGGAGAAGCAAGTAGCCGAGGAGTGAAGACACCGCTTGTTTAGGTTACTTTCCTAGTTGTGGATTCTAATTCGCCTAGCGAGGAGAAACAAGTCTCAGTAGAAAAAATTGACTAGAAAGATGGCTACATGGGAATACAACCTAAAGTGTTGTACTTAATATGAGTATGCACCAGGGCTGACGTTTCAAAAAACGACACTAAGATTTTGCTGTAAGAAACAGAATGAATGGACTAGTGTGAGAAACCTAGAACATGTACCTATTGGGGTTGTACTCACTAGAAGCACACACATAGGCTAGCCTATAACTTCTACACACAGCATATGTATAAGTTGACACACCCCCTAGGCTAGAGAAGGGGTGGTGCTAAGCAAGAAGCACACATCTCAGGGTGGCACTACTAGTCCAACCACTGAGGTAGGGGTCCTGAGACCAGTCAGCACGAGTACAAGCAAGACTAAAGCAAGCCAGGGTGGCACTACTAGTCCAGCCACTGGAGCTAAGGCCACAAGGCCAGTCAGACAGGTATATATAATAGAGAGTACACAATCAGGGTCCTAACAAGAAAATAGCTACAGGAACAAGACCAAGCTGTACACAGTGCCGCTGATGATCTTTAGGCGCAAGCGCCTTAGTAAAGATATCAGCTGTGTTGGCACCTGAGGCTAAGTGAACTACGCGGGCCTGGCGACGCTGCTGTAGCTCGCGCAGGAGGAAGTACCGCAGCTGGATATGCTTCGCTCTGCCCTCAAGCCGAGGCTCCTGACACAGGAGAATCATGGCCCTGTTGTCAGCGTACAGGACCGGGGCAGAGCTAGGCCGCTCACCTAAGTCAGTGAGCAAGAAGGTAAGCCAGCGGAGCTCCTGTGCCGCCATGGCACCAGCGTAGATCTCAGCCTCACAGCTGGAATGAGCAACAGACGACGAGCGAGTGGATCTCCAAGAGATAGCACCCGAACCAAGGCTAAAATAGTAGGCCTGCGACGACCTGAGTGTCTCAGAGTCGTCTGCCCAAGAAGCGTCTGTGTGCCCAGTGAGGACCACCGGCCTGCGTCCTCCTAGCACTAACCCCATGCCTGATGTACTTGCTAGATATCGCAAGACCCTCTTAGCGGCCGACCAGTGCTATGGTCGGTGTCTGCCAGTGGCCACAAAGCGAGCCACGATGCTGAGAGGGTATGCGAGATCTGGACAAGTGCAAGTCATCAGGTATATGAGGCAACCCACCAGCTCTGCGTAGGGGCCGCTGGGCTCTACTGGCTCCTCAGGAACAGGAGCGGAGAGCCCATGATCTATAGGTAGAGGTGTGGGCTGTGCGGAGGAGAACTGAAGACCGAACCTCTGAAGGACCTGACGCACCAAGTGTGACTGTGTCAGAGTGATGGTGATTGCTGCTCTGTCCCTAGAGATCTGCAGGCCAAGATAACGACGCAGCTCTCCAAGGTCAGTGCAGGTGTGTCTCTTCAGCAGCTCGGCCTTCACGGAGGCCAGTGCGTCCCTGTAAGCAGTAGCGAAGACCAGGTCGTCTACGTAGACAAGGATGTAGAATGGAGTCTGGCCGGAACGCACAAACAGCGAGGGGTCAGCAGAGGACGGAAAGAACTGCAGGTCTGCTAGCGTGGCACGCAGCGTGTCGTGCCACTCGAGGGGAGCCTGGCGCAGGCCGTAGACCGGGCACCTGAGAAGCCACTGGGTCCTAGGGGGGAAGGTACCGGTGAAGCCCTGTGGTCGGCGCGGGTAGACCTGCTCGTGTAGGCTGCCCTGAAGAAAGGCAGTAGAGAAGTCGAGGGAGTGAAGCTCGTAGTCGCGCTGTGATGCTATGTGTAGCAGCGCCCGAAGAGTGGTCATCTTCGGGGTCGGGGCGAAGGTCTGGAAGAAGTCAACCCCCTCGCGCTGGCTGAAGCCTCTGGCCTCGTAGCGCGCCTTGAAGACAGGTGGCTCTCCGGGGGGGCGCTTCACTTTGAAGAGCCACCGACCATCGACTACATTCACCCAAGGCAGGGGAACTGCGTCGACGTAAGTGCCGGTGGATCTCCAAATTAGAATCCACAACTAGGAAAGTCAGTGACAGCCGCGACAAGCGCGTCAAGGCGCAAGACAGGAACAGACGGGTTTGTAACAAGAGAGGCAAGAACCCGAGGGACGGGACGAGCGGCACGGAGGCAGTCAGACAGCGGGGGAGGTGCTAGAACAAGCGACGAGGGAGGAGGCGACGGGAGGAGAGGAGGACGAGACGAGTGGGAACGGAGCAACATAGGGTGGGAGCGCAGGACAGGAGAGACAGGACGAGCACGGGAGGGACGGCGAGACCAAACGTGGGACGGAGGTGTAGGGTCAGGAGACAGCGGAGGGGACAAAAAAGGGGAACGAGGAGGAAGATGGGCCGGAGACAAGTCCGGCGGTGGGAACACACGGCCGGAGACATGAAGGTGAGAAGGTGGTGGGGGAGACACCGGCGAGCGGTCAGGGGAGGGAAGGCCGAGCAGGCGAAGAGCGAAGACCGTTGGCGACGGCTGCGGCGGCTGCTGCGGCGGCTGGTGCTCGACCCGCAGACTGGCAGGGGCACGACGGCCGCTGGGAGAACACTCAACAGCAGCACCCCCATAACCAACATCCCCAGAGCGAGAACCCCCTCCACCACCGGCGGCACCCCCAGGCCCGCCGGGACAGACCACGCCAGGGGCCGCAGGACGAACACCCTCCTCAACGCCAGCACCCCCAGAGGTCAAGAGCAGAAACCCGCAGCCGCTGGGAGCGTGGCCACAGGTTAAGCTGGTGAGCAGCGTAGCGGACAGCGAATGGCCATAGAAAATGGGGGGCATCGGAATGAATCATGGAGGTACGAGCAACCTCCATGACCAAGCCGATGCGGCGCTCAGCAACCCCATTCTGCTAAGGCGAGTCCGGCAAGGGGTACGACTGGGTGATGCCCTCCGCACGACAAAACTGTCCAAGCCGACCAGAGGCGAACTCGCCGCCACGGTCAGAGTGGAGATACAACACGGGGAGACCGCGGTGAAGACGCGCAGCCACAACCCACGGGAGAAGAACGTCGGGCACGTCGGCCTTCCGCTCCAGGGGAAACACCGTGGTGTAGCACGTGTAGTCGTCGACGAGCACAAGAAAGTAGCACTCACCGCGCGGTCCGGTGACGGGGGCTAGGCCCAAACGTCCAGGTGCAGGGTCTGAAGGGGAGCAGTAGCAGGGCGAAGCGAGGAGGAGTGAGGGGCACGGCAGAGCCGGCCCTCGACGGAAGGCATGCACGGTGGCGCAGTCGAGGGGGGAAGTGCGGGGAGCGACTCGGGGAGGGCAGGGTGACGTGTGACATGTGTTGAGACATGTGACGCAGGCGCGAGAGAGCAGGGTGACCTAAGCGGTGGTGCCACAGAAGGGACGGGTGTGTGAGGGACCGACACGAGCAAGCTGCAGCGACCTTGGAGGACGCACCAACCGGGGGGGAAGCGGTGTCGAGGGTAAATAGACCGGACACCGGGTCCTGGGGGAACGTCGCAAGGGGGGAACCTGAGACTGCCTCGGTACAGACAGCGAATCGCTCGTGCCCAGGGAACGTAGTGGCGACGCCGAGGTCCTGAAGACGGCCGACACCAACCAGGTTCCTGGATTATGAGGGAACGTGGAGGCCTGTAAGAGTGCCCGAGGGAACGGCTGGAGCACCGGAGTCAGCTCCACGCTGGGACTATGACTGCTGCGATGGCTGCTGCGGCTGCTCCTGCTGCTGGGGCGACGGCTGCTGCTCCTGACTAGCTGAGGCAGTCCCCTTAGTAGAACCACTATCTCCGGTACCACCACTACTATAACCAGCTCCACCACCACGCCCTCCCTGGCGGCCACGACCGGCGCGGCGCGAGCGCTGCTGCGGGTGCATCGGAGCTGCAGTCTCGGTCAGAGGGGTCACAGTGGCGACCGCAGCCGAAACGTCAGTAAACGTGCACTGGGAGGGGGCACAGCCGTGAAAGATAGAGACTGCTGGCGCACCGCTCGACTGATCGATACTGCGCTGGCGAGTCTCGATCTCGGTCAGGGCGGTGACAAAGGCTGGCAGGGTGAGATCACCGGGGTGCTAGCTAAGGATGTGGTCGCGTGCAGTAGCAAGGCGGTCAGGCAGGCGCATGGCGATAAAGTAGAGGGTCATGCAGAAGGGGGGAGGGAGCGCAGTGAGATGGGCAGCAGTGCTAGCAGTGCGGTAGCGAGAATCTAGGGCACGCAGGTGAGTGGCAAGGTCAGCAACAGTAGGGAAGGAAGCAAGGTCTGGGAAAAGCATAGGGAAGAGCAGGTGGCCTGTCTTCAAGGCGCGCTACGTGGCCAGAGGCTTCAGCCAGCTAAGGGAGGGCGCGACGGCCAGGGGGCCGGCTAGGGGCGGGCGGGACGGCCAGGAGGCCGGCTAGGGGCGGACGCGATGGCCAGGGGGCCAGCTAGGGGCGGGCGCGACGGCCAGGGGGCCGGCTAGGGGCGGACGCGACGGCCAGGGGGCCGGCTAGGGGCGGACGCGACAGCCAGGGGGCCGGCTAGGGGCGTGCGCGATGGCCAAGGGGCCGGCTAGGGGCGGACGCGATGGCCAGGGGGCCGGCTAGGGGCGGGCGCGACGGCCAGGGGGCCGGCTAGGGGCGGGCGCGACGGCCAGGGGGCCAGCTAGGGGCGGGCGCGAAGGCCAGGGGGCCGGCTAGGGGAGGACACGACGGCCAGGGGGCCGGCTAAGGGCGGGCGCGACGGCCAGGGGGCCGGCTAGGGGCGGACGGGACAGCCAGGGGGGAAGGGGGCCAGCTAGGGATGGGTCACGAGGGCGGCTAGGGCCTAGGGCGGAAGCGTGGGCGGGCGAGAGGAACCGAACCTACTCATGATACCATGTTAGAAAGAGAGAATGAATGGACTAGTGCGAGAAACCTAGAACATGTACCTCTTGGGGTTGTACTCACTAGAAGCACACACCTAGGCTAGCCTATAACTTTTACATTCAGCATATGTATAAGTTGACATTTGCCCCCCAAAAAAATTCCCGAGTTTGAAGGGTCATTTTTCATTTTTTCGCTACTCTGAAATCTCAGTGTCGAAGAGTCAACGAGTCTGAAATACTCAGGGTTCGGAATGTTGACTCATAGTCTTGCGGAAGATCCTGGGAACAAACAAAACAAGGGCGACCTGGTTTTCGCCTGGTTTGCCCCTGGTTTTCGCCCTTGCTGTAATTCGTTTTTGCGAGCGGAATTTCGTGGGGAGG